TTTATTTATTTATTTATTTATTTATTTATTTATTTATTTATTTATTTGATTTGCCAATTGTTTACAAGATAATAAGTATAAGTGTATACATAGTTGTGAATACATGAAATGGGTACATATAAGAAAAATAAAAGAAGAATAAGAGAAACAATAGGACAGGGACGGTAAGCACGATTGGTGCGCTTATGCACGCCCCCTATAGACCTCTTAGGAAAGGGGTGAGGTCAATAGTAGACAGTCTAAGGTTAAAGTTTTTGGGGTTTGGGGAAGGCAACAAGCCAGTTGCATTTTTTTTTACTGCACAATGATGCCTACAGCATTGTTGTGAAAACTGTTGAGAATTCTTTAATTAATTAATTAATCTACAGCTATAATTATTTTTATTTATCTGTTACATACAAGAGGTCTTCCTGAATCTAGCACCCTCCTAATATGCCAAATACTATATTGACTGAGAAATCTGTGACTTGCAATCCCGACCCAGTTGGAGAGTACAGTGTTGAGAAAAAGTCCAAAATGTGGAAGCTTTTGAAAAAGAAGGATGGTAAAAACATGCATCAGTACCTCCCTCTTCATAAATGCAATCTTATCTTTCAGATAAGAAAACCCTGAACATTTATTTCATTTCCATTGATAACAAAAAGATAAAGAAGTAATGCAAAACAGAATGTTCCAGTGTAGTTACACCTCCTGAATGATTCTGATTTTACTCATATGACTAAAACATTTCAACAATTTTTAGAATGATTATAAATCATCCCAGCCTTTTTCATATCATATTTGGGGAAAATGTTTCCAATAAAGTGTTATAGATAACATATTTATTTTTTCTATTAAAAATGTGATGAGCATTTTTGCCAATATTAAAGGAAAAAAGATGATGGAAGTGAGGTGACTATCATTTTAGGAAAATCCAGTGTGAAACTCAAAGATTGTTCCATGAATCAAGGGGTGTTCCATTTCATCTTATACTCCTTTTGTACAGCTACAGTGAACTAATTAATATACACTGCTCAAAAAAATAAAGGGAACACTTAAACAACACAATGGAACTCCACGTCAATCACACTTCTGTGAAATCAAACTGTCCACTTAGGTAGCAAAACTGATTGACAATCAATTTCACATGCTGTTGTGCAAATGGAATAGACAACAGGTGGAAAGCGTAGGCAGTTAGCAAGACATCCCCAATAAAGGAGTGGTTCTGCAGGTGGTGACCACAGACCACTTCTCAGTTCCTTTGCT